CTGATGGTGATCGTCATTTGACCTTGAGTCAAAGTCCAAAGAGTTATTTCAAGGTCAATTTTATCTTTTTAGATGAAACCTCCTATTTTTTATTGTATATTCTTATAACCTTTCTTGAGGACCTTTTCAAAACATTATAATAAAGTATTTTTCCATTAAGTATTTTTTGAGTTATTTTATATCTTAATCTGACATATTTTGATATAAAAAATAAAATGTCTTGTAAAATATTTCATTTTCGATAATCTTACCATAATACTTTTATGTACAGAATAATGAGATAAATCAATTGGTATAGAAAACACAAATAATTGTTTAAAAAATACATTGTAAATAAGTACATACTTTGTCTTAAAAACAATTATTTTCTTTATACCAATTGATTTGTCTCATTATTCCATACATAAAAGTATTACGGTAAGATTATCGAAAACTAAACATTTTACGAGATATTTTATTTTATTTTACTCAATGAAAAAATACTTTATTATAGTGTTTTGAAAAGGTCTTAAGAAGGGTTATAAAACAACAATTTTTATACAATAAAAATAGGAATGAAACCCCCTATTTTTATACAATAAAAATAGGGGGTTTCATTTAAAAAAATAAAGTTGACCTTGAAATAATCCTTTGAACTTTGATCCAAGGTCAAATGAAGATCACCATCAGATAATCCCCTCAACACCAAACAACTTTTGTCTAAAACATTTTTATCTTAAACAACTCTAAAGGCTCTGAAATATTGCAATGGATTGATTAAAATTGTCGACCCTGTATATTCAGATTTTTTTTTTCTTTTAAGTTCTTATCAACCTTAGGAGCACAACATCAATATATATAATGTTGTAAGATCAAATAACAACTCAAATGGTTGATAAGGACCTAAAGAAAAGGCTTTTTCTAAGAGCTATATTAATCTTTTGCACTTTGAGTTTTTTTATACAGAAGCATATTTTTTTCGACAACAGTACATTTGTTTTGCCTATGTATCATAATTATTTTTTACAAATTTCTTAGTTATTGAATAATCTTTCTTTTTTTATACTTTGTGCAGATTGTAAACTACAATGTTCCGTTTGTTGGGAAGATTTCAAGCTATCGGAACCTGTTAGACAGCTGCCTTGTCAGCATGTTTATCATGCACCATGCATTATACCCTGGTTGGAATTAGTAAGATTTCTAATTTTATTAATAACGCGTGCGCGCGTAAACACATATACACATGTGTGTTAATATTTAAATACATAAATCTTGATAATTTAATCTTTTTCTCCCATTTTTGTTTACATTTTCTAGCATGGAACTTGTCCCATTTGTAGACAAAATTTGGGAGATCAGAACTCGGGTGAAGCGAACCAAGATACCGGACCCAACTTGGCTGGATCTGCTTTAGCTGGATCCAGTTTTGCCGCCTTATTTAGGTAACTTCTTAAATCAAATATATATAAATTTGTACTTTTTAGAACCGATGTAATCAATTCTCAGTATTGAGATTTTGTGAGCGTTTTTTCTTTTCAGCCAGATATTACTTGAGGCAAAAATAATATATCTTGTATTGATATGTAATATCAATACTCAATAAGAATCTATGGATCAATATCTAATGCAAGTCATCATTTTGCCCACTTATAGAGTCTGCCCACTATTAGAGTCCCAATAAGTATGCCTTGGATAACTTTTCTACTCCTCCACATACATTTTTACAACATTAATGTTGTATCACCTCCATGTCATAATGGGCCGATCATAAGATAGTCTATGCTCAACCGTATCTCATATGCTCGAGATGCAAATAGAGACATGTAGGGGCACCTCATAATTATTCCTTTCCAGGAATTTTTTACTCTTGTTCCATATTTAAAAAATTATCGGGGCTCTACTGTAATACAAATTTATTCATTGGATATTTAGCTTTTTAAAGTAGAAAAATATTACGGTTGTCTTAGGAGAATTTTAAACGGTATTTATTTGTTCAGTTTCCTATTACTTTTCTTTTTCCTTTTCTATTTATATAAAGAAATTATAATCTTTGTACATATATACTTTTAATAAATTATTATAATTCTTAATAATTAATTATATAGAAAAGAAAAAAAAAGAGACGAGAAGCTGCATAAATAAATGCCGATTCTTCCAAAATAACTGTACGTTTGTGCGTGTACGCGCGCGCGCGCGCGTGTGTGTGTGTGTGCGTGTGCTTTGTCAATATTTACTTATATTTTACAGGGCAGCAAATGAAGCAAACCGAACAGGACAACCAATCAGCCGGACATCATCTTCTTCATCGTCTACTTCGTCGGAGTAGAGAGCTCTGAGTTCTTGTTCAAGTGAGATTTGAGAGCAATATTTTTCTTTCTATTACCCTATTTTATAATTTAGCAATTTCCATATCATTTTCAACACACTGTAACATTTTTTCTGGCACTTTATTGCTCTTATATATAATAAGGCATATATTTCTTTATAGATATCTCTTAATATATTTATTACTAATATATTTTAAACCATTATCACACTTAATTAATTGATATTATCTTGCTATAAAATGCTTAAAAATTTTAAAAATCGTTTTGTTTCACATTTTACAAATTATATAATAAATAGACATCAGAGCTAAAATAGCAAACTCACAGACCAAATTACATTAGTACATATTTCAGTTTGTTGCATTAAAATTAAATTTAGTACTACAATGCCTTGTAATCTTTAGTAATTCAGTGATTTGTATGTGGTTCAGTGTCTGTAAATATAACTTAATTAAATAACTCTTGGAATGTGCCAGGCATTGACAAATTGTATGTGCTATTATGTCTCAGGTAAAAGAAAAAGAGGGACTTTCACTTTATAATCTAATTCCGATAAAACACTGGAGGAGGAGCCTACGTGTGATTCTATTTATTAGGCATTGCATTGCTTATGCATGGGCAGTTTCATTTTGAGTAGCGTTGATTCAAATAAACTCAAAACAGATCTACACAGAAGATATATGTTATGTGTGTGATACTTATATAAAAATATAATTTTTACATAGCCACGCGCGCAAGGCTCAGTAAAATCGATAGCCTACGATATGACTTGTACAAATAAATTAAAAAATTTGCAATTTAGAGACAAGTTAATAAATTCAAATGATAAATGAAGTGCGGTATACAGATATCGTGAATTTTTTAAATAAAGAAGCGCTTATATATTATGTCAGAGAGAGTAGAAATACTGCTCTCTCTCTTTCTCTGTAGAAGTACACTTATATAATATTCACACCAAAATATCACATGAATCAATAAGTTTAACAGAGTGCTCTAAAAAGCTGCTGGAATTAACATAAAACACATTAATATAAAACGGAATTATATATTATTTTGTTCTTTCTATTTCTTTACTCTGTACATACTCTAAAAAATTGTGAAAAATATAAAAAGAAAAGAGTATATTGACAATCATAATTACCTTCTCCATTTTTAAGTTTGACTGTCATAATATGTATATATAACTTGACAGTTTCTATCTGAGTTTCGACAAATAAAGATGCAAATGTATAACAAATAGATTCGTTCAATTTTCTTAATACGTAAAACCGATACACAATTTCTCATAAAACTGATTTTTACAATACATATGATACGACGTGAATAAAATGCAGCAAAAAAATAAGCAGTGTATCTACATATTTCTATACTACAAATAATTAAAAATGAATATGCGCACTCTCTTTCTCTCGTGAAGAGAAGAATTCTTACATTTATTGTAGTTTGCAGCGATTGATAAAGTTACATATTATATAAACAGATAAGAGATATGATATATATAGCGTTAGATGTCGATCTAAATCTTTTGGCCGACGCATTATCGCGTATATATATATTTGTAACTGAGCATCTTCACAATAATCTATATATAAGCGACACACACACACACACACAAGTATCCTGTTAGTATGCATCTACATAATAGAAAAATATCGCGATATAATGTGAGCGTTTATTTAAATGTTACGCTTTGCACAGCGTTATTCCTTTTCCTGTCCTAGATATAAAAATTATTACTTATTTTGAGGACATTTAAATACTAAAAAAATTTAAACGCCAAAATAAAATTGAGAGTTTTACATATGCAAGGTTACCATCGCTACACACACAATTTTTCTTTTAATAAGCTCGGAACAAGAATATGCATATATTATTGAATACGACGATTATCATTTATCCACACGATAAATCGTAATTTAATAATGGGTTTGTGTTTTTAGAAAGAAAAAAAAGATTCTTTTCACTTATGCAGAATCCCATATTAGATAAAACTCGCGCAAGTTTTGCATGTAAATGCAAAATATAGATCCAAAACGAATAAAAATTATTTAGAAATTAAATATCCACTTTACGAAGCAAAGGATTAATTGCGAAAACATAAAATCGTTCTCGAGTTCAGGGTAAAACTTTTTAAAATTACTTTGTTCCATAGTGTATAATGGAAAACATGTCGATCGAAAAGAAATATTTATTACAATATGTCATATTGTTATTTGAGAGTAACAGTCGACTCAATCATAAAATAAATATACGAAATATGCGGTTGTAATTAATGAAAGAACGAATATTACCGCTCTAGCAATAGCGATGTTTAAAGTAGCGTTGACACAACATTGAGTTATTTTTATGAAAAAACGTATTTTTTATTTAAACATTAGTGTATTCTCTTTCTGTTTCTCATATTTTTCAATGTGTTAACAATAAACAGCGATATATGTTTATAATATAAAAAAATGGAATAATTTTCCCGATCGTTATATACGTATGAAATAAAAAAAAAAAGTATAGAGTTTAACGATGTTTATACATGCTTTCTAGCGAGATCTGTATAAATTTATCAGTAGAATATTATGGGATATATTTATTCGTCAATAAAGAAAGAAATCTCTAATAAAACGTGATGTATAATTTTTCCAACATTTTTATTATTGTAGCAGTAAACGTACGAATAGTAAACGTACTATATATACATAATTTTTTTTTTTTTTTTTTTTTCGAAAATAATTATATATATTTCCATTTTTGGATTTTCTGATACATCCGTAGCTAGTTTATTTCCCCAGCAAAAATTCCATAAATATAATGTATGATGGTGCAGAGTAACCATTTGAATCACAATTCTGAAATGATGTGGACAGTGGCCATATTAGAGAAACTATCGGAATTCGAGTTTAACTACAGACAATTATTTTCTTATTCTTGGGCTGTATCTACTCTGCACCTGGTAATAGGCTTGACATTAAAAGAATATCAATGAGAGATCATTATCTGTTTCAAATATGACAAAAGTTCCACATTTTAAATTTCATATCTCTTAACAGGAACTTGTACATGGTACCTGGGGCCATGTAATTCCATTAAATTTTAACCGACTGTGTTGTTTATGTCTGCATTATACTATTGCAAGAACTTTATTTTAAACGTATACATTACTTATGATCTATATACACAAATGTCAACTCGAATTCGGACAAATATCTTTCAAGATTAAATCTGTATTTTTAGTTCGCGAAATATTACGAAGCGGATGCTTGGTTTAAAGTAATTCGATAAATTAAAGGAGAAAAAAGCTAAATACTTGCATTTTTTATAATATCAAAAGATGTTTACAAATGTAAAACTTTCTCGTGCAAAACTATATACATTGATTTACATTATATATACATACATACATACATATATATATATTTACATATACACACGTGATGGCAATAAAAAAATAAATTGTATGTTAGATATTGTTATTATACTTATAAATCTATTACTGTACCATATTATTCTTATATGGAGCAAATGAACTCCGAGCCATGATATTTGTCTGTGACCACAATACAGTACTAATTTCGATATTATTTATATAATGCTCTTGTACATATATGCATACACATAACAATGTTAATCCAACTCTTTTCTAAAATTTCAGACATTAAAATCTGCTTGATATCATTGACGATATCAAGCTTTAGCATCTCTAATAAATATGATTTCCTTTTATTTTTTTTATTTATTTATTTTTTTAATTATGAATCTTGGATAAGATAAAGATCCTGGAATCATGCATTGTCATTAGCAGCAGCAGATTGATCTGTATTATATTATCAGTGATATCGATATTATCCAGCATATAATAGAATTTTTATTCATTTGTTATGTGATTCGTTGATTCGGTTTTCATGCTTTCTATTTGTTCCGAGATAACAATTTCAGACTGTTCCGTCTCCTTATGCACTGCTATAATAATTTTCTGCTCGGTGGAAGATTGGCTGTCAGAAGAGCCTTCCTGTGTCGAAGTAGCAGCTTCCTAAAATTTGATATTTGTTACATTGCATTTGTTTGATGAAATGTTATATATGAAACGCATATATTTCGTATGAATTACACTTACTGTGCTCCGTATCTTCGTGTGTGTTTTAATGTGTTTCGTTAAATGATCAGATCGCATAAATTTCTTAGTACATTCTGGACATTGAAAGCGTTTTTCGCCAGTGTGAGTTCTACGATGCCTTTGAAGTTCGTCGGATCTGGTAAATTTTTTACCGCAAAATATCCAACTGCAGACGAATGGTCGTTCGCCGGTATGCCAACGTAAGTGAGCACGCAAATGGCTTGTTTTACCATATACTTTATTGCAGCCGGCAATGTGGCATATATGTTGCCGCTTTCTGCTCATATCTCTATTTCTACAGAGAAATATGGATTAATTAAGGAGGGGAAGGGGGAATTTTTGGGGAATATTTTGTATATCGTATGAATGTGCGACATTATATTAGTAGTATTACAAATAAACATTTGTAATATTCGATATATAAATGGAGTTTTATAGAAAAAGTTTACCTGTCTCCGTCGCCGCAATTGGGACACGTGCACGCGACTCTTCTACGATGCTGCTTGTTAGTATCGGTGTCGGTATTGGAATTTGCCGCGTTGGATACCTGATGTTGGTGAGACATAGGGGTAGCAGATGTTGTCAAAGTTCCGTTCGATTGAAGAGTTTGGAGAATCTGCCATTTGGTAGGATCGTTCGAATCGAGTTGTACGGTTGGTGCAGCCGCAACAATAGGTGTAGCCGTGGTAGCGGGTAACGTTTGGACTGTAGCGGTTGGTACGGGTTGTAATGCGCTTGCTGGTATTACTTGTACATTGCCTAAACCTGGGATATTTTGTACAGGTATCGATTGTAAAAAATTGGTTGCATTTATTCCAGCGGCTGGCTGAATTTGCATTATGCTTCCGTTGCTTACGCTCCTCATCATGTTACCTTGTTGCGCAGTTAAATTCGCTAATGCAGATGCAGGAATAAGCGTTAATTGTTGTCCTTGCGCTCCTATACAAGCCAAGATCAATCTCATTGTAAAATCATAAATTATAACAGGTTTTATATAATAATAGCAGGAAGAAAAAACATTTTGGAAATAAAAATAGTGTATAGTATCGAAAATATCTCTCGAAAGAAATATTTTCTAATTATGCTAATAATCTAAATGAGTGCATGCATTGATTAGCTTACCTGTAATCGTAATAGGTTGCACTGTCGATTGAGCCGACTGTGCAGCAGGGATATGTATTACTTGTCCACTGGTTAGTTGACTTGCATCGATATTTGTTACTTTAATGTCACCGTCTATCGTTTCCGGTGGCCTTGTTAGAGTAGATAATGCTTGCACATCGATCTTCTGACCATCTTTTGTGGTAATAACATTGGTATTTCCTGTTATACTTCTTCCTAATGCACTTATGCCGAGAACCTATAAAAAATTATGTGTTACATACAATTAGACTAATTATATATACAGGGTGTCCCAAAGCACCCTTGACAACGCTCGTGAGCAGGTAGAGCACAGTAAACTAAAATAGTATAGGACTTTTCTGTTCAGTTTACTGTGCTCGACTTGCTCACGAGCGTTATCAAGGGTGCTTTGGGACACCCTGTATATATATTTACGTGTATGTGTGTATGTGAGGGTGCGCATAACCCAATACGCATACAGTATATCACAGAGTTTAAAAGTGCATTACCTGAACGTTGCTAGGAGTGGCAACTGTTGTGCTCCAAGTTGCAACTGTCGACGATGGAGCAGAAGATTGTTGCATCTGTTGCTGCTGTTGTGGCTGCTGCTGTTGTTGCTGTTGCGATGGTGGTGGTTGCTGTTGCTGCTGTATTACCTGTTGTACTACTTGTTGTACTTGCTGCTGTTGCACCTGCTGCTGCTGCTGTTGTACTTGAGCCTGAGCGACTTGTTGTTGCTGTTGAACAGATTGCACTACTTGTTGTTGAGTTTGTTGTTGGACGACTTGCTGCTGCGCTTGTTGATGTGCAACTTGCTGAGCTACTTGTGTTACTTGTTGACTCTATAATAGCACATTAAAAGTGTATACATTCATATAATATTTCATATAATAGTAGAATTGTAGAAAAAATCTCTCTCTATTATTAAACTCAATTATACATATTCATTTTTATATTACATCTTTACCTGAAGACTTTGTAACTGTGGTAAGTTTGTAATTTGCACTTGCTGGATCTGACCACTTGGTGTAATTATCTGTGCTACTTGAGGTATTTGCTAGAATTGAAGTAACCAGAATATACATTTCATCGATATTATAATTTACACACAATAGTTTAATATGAAAATTGTCAATTAAAGTCATGAAATATTAATTGCTTCGCATCAACTTAGTTAATGTTGCATCGAGTAACTTACTTGCATGATTTGAGGTATCATTTGTGTCGCGGGCATATTTAAAACGCTGGACAAAGCTTGAACGGGAAAGTGTACAGTTTGATAAACAGTTTGTCCATTGTTGGCAGTGACTGGTACTTGTACAGGGACTGTTTGCTGAACATGCTGCATAGGAAATTGAAGTGGTCTTACTTGTACATTTTGACCTGCAATATACGTGTTATTTGATTTTATTCTTAAGTATATCTGGTGGAAGTTGGAAAATTTGAATCGCAAAGATACGCATAAATAAGACAGGAAGAGAAATATGCAACTAAAAGCGATGCCGACAAGAGGCATACCTGTCGGCAGTTGTACTGTTTGTCCCGTAATATTTTGTATAATCGAAGTGGGAAAGACATTGGGTGCCCTTATGAGACTAACTGGTTGTGGCGTAATAATGGTCTGGCCGTTCGCTAGTTGCACTTGCTGACCGGCAAGTTGCATTTGCTGACCATTTGCGGTAGCAAATTGCATTGTTGGCTGTGTTTGGTGATGACCGCCTGCCGCGGACATCGCCGAGGATGGAATAAATAGAGCTTCCTGACCATCTATATTGACGGTCTGCATTTGTGGGATTACGCTATAACTGAGCTGTTGTTGCTGCGGTTGCTGCTGCTGTTGTTGAGTGTGTTGCTGCTGCTGCGATTGTTGCTGACTTTGTTGCTGTTGTTGTTGAAGAGCCGTTTGTGCCTGAGCGCTAATAATTTGAGCACCCTATGAAACATACAAGTTATTTACAAGTTGAAGCACAATGGAAGGAAGAAGAATCTATGTAATGCGCGCATGTCCGCTGTATTTCTTATAGAAAATAAAATTATATTATATTTTTATATACATTTTATATATGTGTTTTACATACTTGCAAGAATTGATGAGGTAGTGATTGAACAGAGATTGCTTGCGCTCTCTGTTGATCGTGTTGCGATTGTTGAGCTTGTAAAGGCATAAAGTTCTGCAGGGTAATAACTTGCGGCGGCTGCTGCTGTTGAGCTTGTTGTTGAACATCTTGTTGTTGCAATTGTTGTAATACATTTGCGTTTAAGAAACGAATTTGTGACTGGGCAGTTTGCTGCTGCTGTTGCTGTTCTAACTGTTGCTGGTCTGTTTCATCTTGTTGCTGCGATTGTGATTGCAAAGGATCATGCTCTTCGATTTCTTCCTATAAATAATTATACAATTTTTTTTCAAGAATATTCTGCATATAATTGTACAATACGTTAAAGATTAGATTGTATCCACACAAATTATACTAATTGGAATAATATAATGTATATATATATATATATATATATCACATTACATACAATATCAAGTACTTGGAACAAGTATCGTTTATCTAATATTGAAAATTGTTGCAAAAATTAAATGTTACAAAAGTAAAGCATTTGAGCCAAGAATGAAATAACTAGTATCTTACTTGTGAAATGTTCCTTCCATCTAGACTTCGTTTCATGATGAACGATTGTGTTTTGCACCATAAAAAATTTATAAGAATGGATTTGATGCCATTTCGCCAAATTGTGCTAGGAATCCATAACGCAATAAAGATGCAAGTATGTATATTGGCAATTTTCTTGTAACCACGAAGAAAAGATTGTTCTGATGTTCCTATTAAAGATAGATACAGAGTTTTTAGAAAATTATCCATTAATATATAGCTAATTAAAGCCTACCCAGATGGATTTGCATAGTAGCATAAATATATGCATAAAGAAATTGATTGGTCCATTTCCTTATGTATATATTTATGCAACTATACAAATCCATCTGGATAGACCCTTACAGTGTACAAAACAACTAATATATTATGCAATTATGGTAAAATTATGTTAATTCTTATTGTATAGATAAGATTATTAAATAAATATATAAAATATAAATATATAAAAAAGTATAGACGAATCTTTAAAAAAAAAATTAGAGAAATTATAGTTGTTCAAAACTTTTGTTTTCGCTCATAGAAGAACTGGCAAAAAAAGGATTTTTATTCTTAAAGAATGAGAACAAAAGAGAAGTAGAGGGAAAAAGAAGAGAGAGAAATAGTTTTAATTTTAGCAGTTTGATAATTTGAGTTTTATTAATTTATAACAAAGATATCGTAACATTAT